TTAGTTTGTCTTTTAGACGTTTATATTAACACACACAAATATCAAGGCATTGGTAGGTTTCGAAAGACTGCCGGACTATTCTAGTTCCTCATGGCTCGCTCGTTCTGCTGTTATTCGCTCCGCTGGTGTGTAAACTTGAGCCGATACGGCATAAGCCTGTACGTTAACATAGAGGTATGTAAAAGAAGTACACGCCAAAACGAGCGAGGACGTCCAGCTTTTGACCCAAATATTTCATCGGCACTGTCTGCTAGTGGCATCAGCTTTCGTGTGCGTGCCGGAAGCCGGCACATTTCACACGACTCGCGGTAGGGACCTGTTAAGTTAGTTACAGGATCCTTTCGAAAGCCTGCAAAAAGCCTGTTAGATCCTGCCTTCTGTCAAACGACGGGGGAGCTGACGCGAAACGCGATAAACGTAATAAGTGATAAAATGATGCTTGTCTTAGTAAAAACGACCGGCACCTAGGGAAGCGGCTGGTTACGGGTCGGGACGAAACCGGTCGACATCTCATTGCGCGAGTGGAAACCTTACAGGCACTGCGGTGCAGAATATAATGGACTTACCTAGGCCTACGTCATTGGCTCGCCAGGTTATGATGAAGGCCAGACAAGTTAAGGGCTTAGGACTGTCGGAGAAAATAAGGCTCAGGAAGCTATAGTGACAGGAATAAAACGCAAAAAAAAGATGGACATGTAAAACGACAGTGTATATATACACTACATACATCACTAGTAACGGTGCTTGCAATGAACTTTACGATCAAAGTCACCCCAACCATTCTGGCGTTTCCGCTGTATGTTAGGAATAACAGAGCAATATGGGGTCGTTGCCAGTCTGCAGTACCTCTAAGTCAAAATAATTTGCATCCAGAGCAATACAGTTAAATCAGAGATATTTTTAGAGAATGACTGACTGCCATCACGGTAATTATCATCCTATATCTCCCATCAAATGGTGTTCGTCGAACAATAATGTTATCGAGATGCTCTGACATTGGCTGTAACGGATAGCATGCAGGATGTAGTAAGCACACTACGAATGACCACTGCCGTGCTGGCAACGGCTACGTGAGTCACGTAATAACAAGCAATGAATAACTTTCGTTTTTAGGTGCTCGAGCCGTTTAGAGTACGTTTTTTAGAATAAGTTTTTTTGTCGAAACGCAACATTTTTTTTCTCTAAAAAAAAAAAAACTTCCTAAAAATGCCCCGCGTCAAGAATATACTTAATTTTATCAATAAAGTTCTATACAGGTTTTTGTTATATTGTCTTTGGAAACAATAGAAAAACCCTCCTTTGCACTAGCATAAGCAGCAACCTAATCTGAAACAAATACACATTCCGAACTGATTCTGCCATACGACAGTGTTCAACTTCATTCCAGTTGAAAGCACCAGAGAGAACGAAAATCGAAGACGAAAATTGGCCGCGGCCTTTCTCGGCACTATGTGCTTACCACGTAGCTTCCCCATAATACGAGACGTGGTTCATTTTTTCTTATTGAAAGGAAAACAAATAAGGTGCGTGAAAAATGTGGGTGGACTAGAGTGTACTGAACTGAAATAACCGGTGTGACGCACTGGGTTTTTCCGCGTTGATAGTTTCTGTTCAACTTGCGCCCCCTGCTTCGCGCGTACTATGATATGGTAGGTTGCTTACGTTTTTAACTCCTCACCACTTCGCGCACCGTTAATACATACTCTGAAATAGCGTAGTTAATATATCTCGCCAAAAGCTTCTTCCGAACAGGCGACTTTGGCTGTCCTCGGAGAGGAACAGAGGCAAATAGATGAGAAGCTTCCCTAGCAGTTTTTTACGACTGGAACCAAACTGCCTCCACTTTGTTTACAGAATGGGCTGGCTGGCCTGCCGGGCCCAGATTTCCTTGGAACTTTAATTACCTACTGACCTAGCCACGCACCGGCGCGTGGCAGTGCGCATCTGCCTGGAACCGGCTGGGTTTCAGTTTTGCCCCACCAATGGAAACGCCTCGCTAACGAGCTAAGGGCACAGTTCTTTATACAGCTGTATGATGCGAAATGCAAGCGGGACAGTTATAACGATATCTCTCCTTCGAATCGAGTATATAGGAAGGGAGGATCGCCTATACAAATTACATGATCTGCTCCTGCACATCCGCGTCGACCTACCTATTAACCTGTTCAGAGGGCCTTCTCCTTGTTTCCGTTTTTCATATCTTGTAGCCTTTGTAAGCTACGTTGTAGGCATACAAACGGCAAGTATATGGACTGAAGACTGAGCCATCGTCGGCAACTGTAGCATTCGCAGCGACGTTTTTTCTTTGTAGGGATCTTCATTAATTGAGAGACACCTAAAAAAGAACGAGGCGAGCAGTAGGTACTTCTTGTGTTTGAGAGCACAGTTCAGCTTCGGCTGCAGTAGCGGAAGAAACTTGCATTACCGTCAAGACTAGACGCTTAAAGAATTTCAAAAGAAGATTATATATATATATACTACTATACCACTATATATATATATATATATATAGTGAAAATGCTCTAGTATTCTAAGTTTTAATCGGCAAGATAATTTATGTGTGATGTAGATTATTATTAGAAGTTAGGGTAAGTGTTGAAGGGTACCATTAGGCAATGTATTTGCAGGCGACAACCCCTAGGCGGAGAGAATCTGAATAGAAGAATGCGACGATAAGATGCGAGACTAAAATCAACGTAAAGTTTGAAACGAAACTTTTCAACGTGTCTCAAGTTCATACAGCTAACTACTGAATATTTAACAACATTAATGGGCACTCTTTCAAAGACGGTAAGCTCTATATTGGTTTAGCTGCTTGCCCTGTATTTTAGCATCTGCTTTAAAGCAATTTTATTATCAGAGACTGGTCTCAGTTTCCGTTAAACGAGGCTCCGTCTCTAGGATATGGACCTTTTCGAGGCAAAACTATAAAGTGGCAGTGAGTGAACGAATGTTGGAGGCTTACCCCTATAAGAACTTTTGCTGTTTCTATTTATCAGGCCTTTTCAACAACCGATCCCTGAACTAGTTCTCGTCGTATTAGCGGCACAGAACTGCCCAGTAAGCGAATAAGGAGATGAGTGAATAATATGCTATCTCCAAGCTAGCTTTTAATTGTCTTTGTGGTACGGCTTCTGCAATTTCTTCGTAAGCTGCGGTAACTCTCTGATCCAGAATCTTATCCTGAGCTCTAAATCCAGAGCGTTGAGCCCTAAGCGATAGCAGAAGACAAAGAAGTGACACGGAAACGGCTGTTCCAGTTCAAAGTAGTCTTCTACTTCCGCTAGCCAAGACGAGTAAGGAAGGCGAAAAGATACTTTTTATGCTTGATCTAGCCAGACTCGCATCCATGCATTACGGCAGGGCGTAAACGCCACTGATTGAAGTAGTATCTAGCTGCTGGATCGATGCTTGCTCAGCCAGGTTACGACGCCGATATTGAGGCGAACAGCATTTAGACCTCCAATGGCTGCCACGTCTTTGACGGTGCAGGTCCATATCCATTTTTCAGCTGTCGCTCCATTGATAGAAAACGCAGAAATGCGTTTTCTAGAATCACTCGAGTGAGGACGGAGTGATTGGCAGGGTTATCAAGTTCTTTATAACTTAAAAGACCTTGACAAAGTTGTCCCTTAGACAACTTGATTTGTCTGTGTACAAAAACGGCACGTAATACATATTTTTCATCTGTATCACAACCGTCGGAACCTGCTCTGCTACAGTCATCTGATGAGGGCTTTTTCCACAATTAAATCAAAATAATATGACTACTTTCCATCAATCAAACTATTTTGCCCTTAGTATAACACTCTTTACGAAAAGCCAACATCTCGACCAAAATTCACACCTGACATCCTCGAGCGCTTAGTTGCTTTTTTTTTTGCCTCATACGTATGCGCACACGTTTGGCCCGATTACAACAGTAAAGCCAGCTAAAAATTAAGCAGTAAAACTAGGCTTGACCGAATTAGAATTCCTTCAAGGTTCTGTCTTACCAGACAATCGGGTTGTCGCGGATTCATTCTCAGTTGGAGATCGTGCATAGATGTAGTCGATAAATAAGCGGGCCAAGGCAGCGAAAACGTCATAGGAATCTGGATGTCTTCGACGTAATACTCTGTACGTCCGTCTATTTTCCTTCTGCTGCTGTTGTTACCACCACTGAACTACTTCCGTCCAGTCTTCTTTGTGCCGTCATAGCATTACCTTGTCACTGTGTCTGACGATAAACGTAAATGACGCACAAAGCTACCGATCATTGAGGCATTGCTATTTAATAGGCTAGGCTGTAGGCAGCCGCCTACAGGTCCGTCTGTTTTTGGGCAATCGAGAACTACCGTCAACTTACGACTGGTTTCGTCTAGACGTATATAATGGTTAAGCGGAAACGGGGCGTAAAGTCGGGAGAACGGAAACCAACGCTGTGTATCATGTGTGAAGTGCCTCAATGGCACAATCTTTCACAGTTTTTCACACGCCGGCCCACCGCTGCCGTAACGACTATTAGAGGCAGAAAATTAAAAGTACGAAGGGCAGCCGTATTCCACACGTAAGCGTCGTGTCTGCGTGGTCCGCAGCTCGCCAGTAGTACTTCTGCTGCGAATACGACTCCTGCAAATAGACCTAAGCGGATGAAACGGTCTAAAAAGCCTTTATATTATGACCAGAATAGATACGGGCTGGGGTTTGCCGTTTTTCAGCTACTGACTATTCGTTCATTCGTAAAGCAGACTCGGAAACGAGATAGGATGAAAGGAATATCGGCATCGGGTGGATATGGTTGATTTCGCTACATCGAAAGATACAGCAACTAGTTAGGTGATTGTATTACTATGTTGTAACTATCGTTATGGGTCATGCAGCACGCCTATACGGTTCAGGGCGAATGATAGACTATTTAATTGGAATGTGGGTCAAAAAACTTGTTGATAAATGTCATTAAATCAAACAGGCAGGGCACAGTGATAAAATGTTGTTTTTATTTTTCTGCCGTTTTTCAGTTTGTAGCTTCGTCGTGCATAAACGATGCCACGAGTTCGTGACGTTCAAATGTCCCGGCGCGGACAAAGGCGTCGACTCAGACGATCAGCGGACCAAGCATCACTTTGTGATCACTACCTACACGAGCCCCACCTTTTGCGACCATTGTGGTTCGCTTCTATATGGTCTCATACACCAGGTACGTAATGAGTCGAGCTAAATGAGGACCGTTCGCAATCCGATGATGTGAACGTGACACGGATGCACGTATAGGAATACCATTATAAAGGGTGTGCATGTGGCATGTTCATATGTGTTAGTTTCCCTGTCGCCATCGTAGTGCTAAACACACCTTGCTGCTATTCGTGCTGGAAAGGATCGGCCGTCTAAAACAAGCCTCATTTAAGGCAATAGAGGATATAACGCTTGAAGCATTCACGTTTGCCTATCTATGTGGACGCTTGTAAAACGTCGGATCGCAGGAGTTCAAGCAAACTCTTGAATCGGAACCTCAGTGATAGCGATTGATTCCTTCAAAATATGAGCGCGGCACTCACAAACAAAGCTAATGCACCTTGTTGTCTGTAGCTCAGATATACTTCCCCATGACATAATCCCCATGATGCCGCAGCTAGTAACGTGTTTGTAATTCTGTCACCTTATCGGTTTATTGTGTAATCTTATCGTCATGTTACTATCAGTTCTATTAGGTTATATATAAATTTAAAAAGCTAGAGAGCACTGCTTAACGATAGCTGATAGCGCTATTGTAGTTACTAACTCTCAGCTAGAGCTCAGTACATCGGATAACTCTAGGCGCAGGCTAGACAAAACTTTGACATTACATTTACAAAAGACCTAAAAATATTAGACTATTCTGAGCACCCTGGTTCATTTGCTTTCTTATAAGCGGACAATAGATGTGAAGTATTGACTCCACCGGATATTGCTACCCTTCCTAAGATCTCTTTACTTTAGGAAAAGCTTTTCAAGCTTCCCTTAGCTAATTTTAAGTTTATGAATTGTCCTGCCAAAAACGGAGTATTTTTTTCCATAAAACAGCATGTCAGGCCTTAACGAGGTCATGCCAGGTCTCTTTTTAAGGTACCTATTTTCTCACCACTGTTCTTGTAAAACTAATAACTAAAACTTTTCCAGCGCGCGGCATCCATCGTATTACATATACATTGATATCTTTCCGCCTGTAAACGGGCAATACCGTCGCACCACGGCAGAGGTCCAAGCGTTTCTTTTCGGCAAAACAGATGACCTGGCGCTGGCCGTCTTTTGAATTTGCGATCCTACTTGGAATGTTGTAAGATAGATGGCCGGGCCAGGTTAGACTGGCTGAGGCGTTCGATTGTTCTGTTGACTGCTGCATTAGGTTATAGTTGGCTCGCAGAGGAACATCCTTGCTAGGGAAAAGTTTCCTTATCCTGCTGCTGGAACTCATGCGGCACTGTCCAGGTTGCCATGCCCATTATACGATCAGGACTACATGAGTAATGGCGGAAGAAAAGCAGCATCTTATAGCTCCTCCTTTCAGAGGGGAATAAGGTGCTAACTTCCTAACGCATACGTTTTCCTCACTAATTTACCGTTACACACACACAATTTTGACTTAAAGGAATACTAAGGGATAGTCAAGCGGTTTTCCCACTATCGAGCTAAAGAGCGCGTGTAAGGTCAGGCTTGTATCACATGATACAGTCTTCACCCAGCTGGAAAAATTTACGAAAAACAGGCAGATAGTGGACGAGGAGCCTGTTGCCTGTTGCCTGTTGTCTTACCCGGCCGACTCAGCTGTTACAGTAACGAACGACTTAGTCCTCAGCAGCTGTAAGCAGTTGTAGCACAGACTTTTTGAGAGGGTCTGCAGCCTAATTTTCATCTATAACAACAAACTATGTGATGTTTACATAGGTGACAGAGGAAAAACGAAAAATGTTTAGATGACCAGCGATAGTCGGCACACGATGAAAATGAAGCCCAAACTTGTAGCAATGGAGTGTCCGTATCATAATCGTTAGTTTCCTTCTAGACGGTGCAATGCATTTAACTTCTCCATTTCATTACTGATTATATGTGATACTCAACTAGTACACTATCGTATTCCGCATCCCAGGCGGTTTCTGTGGGACTCCTAAATAGGGCAGCAACACAGAATAAATAATTACCAATACCGCCAAAGCTGCTTCAGTTATTACTATGATATTTAGGATGTGTTAGGGTTATAGTCCTTAGGCGAGGCCTAGAACCGAAGTGAGCGTGGTCGATGCCTCGCGATACTCATATACGCTTCTGGCTCTAAAAGAACCTTAAAGCTAAAAGTGTTACCTTTATTCAAACGAATTTTCTAGATTCGTATCTATTGATATCTATTGAAAATTACACTGGAGGTACTGGAATAAAATTAACACCTTTAATTAAATTGAGCTTTATTACTGCTGAAGTAGCACAGTATAATAATGAAAATAATCAAATAGAAACACTTGGAGTATAGTCCGAAATACCAGATAACTGAATGCTTATTCAAGATCTACTACAAAAGATAATAGATGAATATAAATATTAACTATGCAATTTTGCTATTTCAGGGGCTGAAATGCAAGGCATGCGACATGAACGTCCACAAGCGATGTCAGGAAAGCGTCCCTAACCTATGTGGTTGCGACCACACCGAACGAAGAGGACGCATTGACCTAAAGGTTAGAAACACATCTAGCATTAAAATACATCTCTAGCCACAATAGAAACCTCAGAAGCACTTTGGCCTAAGGCACTATTTTTATTGATAATGGACGATTGCAGTGATTGTGGTCTTGCTGTAGCTTACATAGACTAGTCGACGGTCATCATTTTAGAGCATATATATAGATGTTTTTTCACAGAAGTGCTAATACGTATGCGAAAAGCAATAACACTGTTGCTTATAGACCTGTTAGCTATTAAGGCTTTTTGCTAGTGAGTCATTATCAATACAATCGCTACATTGGTACATGTATTGTATTTAAACACACAGCTTGTGTCTTCATAGTCTTACTGATATATATATATATATATATATATATAAATGCCAAGTGATACTTTACTGCTCCTTCGACCTAACAGTTATATAAGAACGGTCCCGTTTTCGCTATTAATATTTCTCTCCCGGCAGTTGCCTGGAGGGGGAACTATTTTTAGCTGAAACTGTTATTACATGTATACAAGTTTAGACTACCGGTTGATGCTCTCAGCTGCACACAGCTGCTATTGAAGTCTGCTTCTTTAAAGGCGATGCAGTCGCTTGGTCTAGCAGAAGCTCAGCGACTAGGCTTGCCAGCTACTTAGAAAAAGAACTCACTCGGTAAACGTAAACGGATTTCCATAAAAATCTGTGAGACGGCGACACCACAGAAAGAAATACAGTAACTAACTTAGGTTACATAATACAATAGCTTTGCTCGTCTAGAGAATAAACCTATGTGTATTTCGACTAGCTCGATTTCTATTATAAGTCCACCTCGCCTTTTTTTTTTTTTCCCACTGGGACGCATGTTACGAAGTGGTAAGAAATGAGCGTTAAATATTAACTTGCTATGATGGCCAGATCCAACGGTATCGTTCGCTTTTTTTCTATCGCTATCTATAGAATGTAATTCAGCACTAGTCAATACAGCAAATCAGCGAAGAGAAATAGTTCGTTACGAGTGATACTTCTTACACACTCGGCTATGCAGCAACCTTAACCCCCCAACCTAAACCTCCTGACGCCTTTTAGCACCCGATGTCGTCGGTGTCCCACATGGGAACGTCTGTACGGTTGGTATATTTGTACGCGCCAATATTAATGGAACAGCCGCCTGTTCAAGCCATTTGTCTTCTTTTTGGCGTCAATCAGCGACCACTTTAGTTGTTAGCCTGTGACGGCTGGTCGCTCACACCTCGCTGGTCGAAAAATCACTCGTTTTGAATAGGATTCTTCCCGCTCCGTTACCGGGCACTCTTTTTCAATGAAGTCAATGATCGAGGCAGTGGTAACTTTTTACCTCTGTGGCAAGCAGCCGAACACAGCAATCAAAAAAGGCTAAGGAAATATAGGTCTTTGATACGCTGTATCTGCCTACGGATCCGATCAACTCTGTGATTTCTTAAACTCTGCTCAAGTGGACTCGGCAAACCGTCGAGCCTCAAATCTACGGCCAATTTCTTGCAGTGGAGCATTGTCATGATCGCTGCCAGTTCTCACCGCATTTATATGACCGCTGTTGATATACGACCTTGTTAAAATGTATGATTAGACTTTACTTACATTAATTAAGGTAACTTTAATTCAAGGCGACTGATGACGTTACAAGAGATTTATATGACACAAGCTGAGTGAGAAAGGAAGACTTATTCTTGGACTTGAGGTAGTTTGCCCCACTCGGTTGATATATTGACATAGGAGCAGCGCTCCACGATAAAAGAGCAATGATGTTGGCCAAGTTCGGGTACAGAGGAGTACCCCTGTCATGAATTCTGGCCTGGTACATAATCGGTAGCAGGCTAAAATCTATGGTTTTTTTTGGGTACTAGCTTTAGAACTGCAGAAAGGCTATCTTGATCATCGTTGATCTTCGAGCTTAGCCAGGAAAAACAGAGGAACGAGAGAACAGAAGCCTTAGGACCTGTGTTGTATATGCAGAACACGGTCGAGAGTTTAATAAGGGACTTGCATCGATAAGCCACTTAGACAACAGTATTTATTGTAGACTTGTGTAGTATATAAACCGTAAGTGGTTCAATAGAACGCAGAGAACTAAAGCTTTAGTTGTACTGGCAAAAATATGAGGAAAGTCGTTAGCACCCGTTTGGTGCTATCTAACTGTTTTAAATTACTGTTATTAAACCTGTATAGATGGAGTTAGAGCGGTACCCGGTGATTGCGTCGGCTTCACTGGGGCGTCAAAGGCTAGCCAAAGGACCGCAATTGCACGCGCTAGGTCGCTGCATTCGACACCAGTGGTTCGATTGGGCTTGTTTTCTACCTGAATGTCTCTGCAGGCGATAGCCCAAACGCTCGCCAGCTCCTCGTAGTCGCCATTCGCGATCGAGACGTCCGTTTCAGACTTCGAGTTACGTAGTTAAGCAGAAAACAACGGTTATGTATTCTTCACTTATACGAACTATATATATGTGTATATATATATATATATATATATGTATATATATATATATACACATATATATGAGAGAATATTAATTATCTTATTCGATTCAGCTCATAGCACATTGCAGAAATAGTGTGTGTGGGTATGGATTTTATGGGTTTCTGGCTGCATGTCTATGGCGTGACTCGTATGCCAAGAACGACAGAGCACAAGAAAGTGGAGAGTGTTTTTCTTCCTGCACCCGGAAATCCTCAAAAAATTCCGGACAGAAACCAGTGTAAGGCAGCCATTTCATGTGCACTTTATGTTAGTTATTAGCGAAATCGTTGGGAATGTGGAGTAAGGAATCTTTCGAATACTGAGAGAAACTTATTGGTTGTCCTTTGTTTTCAGTTTGGCTTAAAGTACCTGGGGCATTTCGAAGGACGCTTTAAGGATATATGGATTTTTCGCAGAGCAGCTTTTCCATGGCTGGAGTGCAGCGTTGCCTAACAAAGAACAATAGCCTTTTGCTCTCTATGGCCGCCGAAATCAATAACTAAGGAAGACACTGGATAGAGGTCACTAAAATACAAAGTATGGGTTCCAGGTACAGGAGAATGTGGGGGTATAGTTAAATGGGAAACTTTTCCATTCACTGACAACGGTGAATGGGGTCTCAGTCATTGGAAAGTGCGCGGGCCATGAACTTAGCTCCCAGGTGAATATTGTTCATTATGAAGGCGACATAGGCGATTTAGCTGACATAATTGATGGATTTCTCCCTATGGTTTATTAGCGAATATTGGGAAATAAGTGCGCATATGAAAATTCAAACCTACAAAAATGTCAGCAGTTTAATAGTTGACGATCATTACTATTTCCATTAAGTGAAGATGCGCATGTCGCTCAGACGATACCTTTTAACCACTGGCTATACGGCCGATTTAATATCTATTAGTCCAAAGAGAAATGGGGAATAACTAATAGCAATGTGCGTCTTCGCTTAGAAAGGAATAAAATCGCGCGGTAAGTTACTCTTAGGGGAGGCATCTTACAAACGTTTTCAGTCTTTTTTTAGGTTACTTAAGAATCGATCAGTTCTAGCTGTATAAAGAATATAACACAAACAGAAAGTATCAACGACATTCAGCGTCGCATCAACAGTCTGCTTTTAAAATTTATTTAATACTTCGGCAATGGAGCTCATCGATGAAGGGCGTCGTCGTTGTCGCCCTTTTGATTGAATTCTGTCAAACTTTTAATGCTAACATCAAAGGTCGCATAAGTGACGATTCATTTGTGGTCAAGTTCTGATGCAATGTTTACCACCCTGATGGAGCCTGAACGGATTTGTTCGCAGTTACAAGAACAAACGAACTAAATGGATTAGATACAAAAGATCAACGCCGTACCTCAGTGGAATGCTGTGACCAAGAATTTACAGTGATGAGATGAAGTCGACGTGCGTTTGTATTTAGCAAAGCATGCCTTACTCCATACTTATCCCAAGGTAGCTATGGTGGATTGATTAACCTGATTTCTGCTACCACAGGATTTCGTGTGCTTTCGTGGGTATTCGTTGCGGCTGCTGCTAGCGAACGTAAACAGGGAACAGGCGGTCTCCACAGGATAAAGGTGGCCTGCTGCTTTCTGAGATAAAACGGCGTACAAGATGTCCTTAGTCGCGATTCTGTCGTACGTTCCGCAGCGATCCCTACTACTTGAAAGCGAATGTTTACGGTGATGTTGTATCTGTGTGCAGCAAATCTCGTTAAGATTCATTAAAAGATGTACTGAAAATTTCCACTTTTATATGCAAAAAATCCACTATCTATACACCTCAGTCAGCTATAAGTTGTATGCCATTTCGACATTTGCTCAAACTGAATGAACCAGGCGACCCCATATACCTCATTGATATCTACCGATATATTGTCCGTGCTCGCCATTCGGACAAAATTTAAACACCGACAGATGGCGTCTGCAAAGCAGATGTTGCGGTCGCTGCTATCGACGCGTAGTTGTACTTTAGAGCCGGCTGTTGTTGTTTTCTTCGAAATGAAATTGGTTGATTGGTGTCATCAGCAAAGATCATTGGTTTACCTAGTACGTTTCCATATGGTGGCCCATATGCAGTGATTCCGTCTTGACCAATCAGTTACTGTCCTACGAAGTCGCCTCAAACAGAACTTCGTATATATATAATTTAGGACACATCGGTAGGTAGGCAGGCAGGCAGGCAGGCAAGCATGTCCAGACTTGAGAATCTCTAGAACTCGTGTGTTTATTTATCATTAAAGCTATCGAAGGGCACATTTGAGTGTTCGACGTTTTTTTTTGCTTATTAAAAAATGTTTAGATAGGAAAAGTTCTTGGACAAAAAACGCTGGCAACGAAGAATTGCAGCGAACGGATTACACGCACAGCTGTCAGTGGCTAGGAGTTAATTTGTTTCATTGGCGGATAGAGACGGCTTCGGCATACTTTACTATTGGCCCACAAATTTATATACACGTAGATACACTCACTTACTCCAATCTCGTTCATGATAATCGAGGCTTGTTCGCTGTTTACCTATAATTATTAAATCTATTACGTCACTTTATTTTCAGGTGTCGGCAACGAATAATAAACTATCTGTGGAAGTCAAGCGAGCTCGAAATCTCATCCCAATGGATCCTAACGGTCTATCCGATCCTTACGTCAAGCTCAAACTGATTCCTGATTCTGGGGACTCCGTAAAGAGGAAGACGAAAACAATCAAAGCTAATCTTAACCCTGAGTGGAATGAAACCATCAATTTGTAAGTCGCCAATTGTATCCTGGCTATGTGCGTGACGTAATTATTGAATTGAATGAATGATTGATTGTTATTCAGTAGTGCCTAGGGCATTATCGAGTCGTTATCCCGCCAATTGCAGACGCGATTTAAAAGTCTCTCCTGAGAGCGAAAGGGGCTACGTCAGCAAAGTATTGCGTACACATCCTATATAGAAAAGTGCTAGAATTTCTTAGAGTTTTTTATGACAATGGCGGATTGTTTTCGGTAACAGATGTCCCGCTGTACACGTAATACTGCGGTGTGATACGGCCTTTCTTGATTTGAGCATTATGGATCAACTCATCGCATGCATTTGCACGCAGGTACGTTTGTCCCCAGTCTGCATTTTCCGCAAATCATGCTCGGCGAAATACCAGAGAGAAAACGTGCACCTCTTGTGCACTCTGTTCAGGGTGTTTTAGGGCGTTTATTGTTGTCAGTAACGACACTCACATATGTAAATGTGTGTGTGTTCTCGTAATTATCTGTGCACTCTCGTTAAACGTTCGGTATTTCGACTAAGTCCTTCTGTAGTTTATATCGAAATGGTGCATGTTTTTTTCCATAGCAAAGAAAGCTCATGCCTCAACAGATTACTTCTTGCATTGTAATCCGACATATTTAGGCCTCGACATTTCGGTTCGCAGAATACAGCCCAAAGAGCATGTTAATTACACAATTTTCAACCTTGTCTCAGCTGGCAAGTAAGAAAGTATATATGCGCACGAAGGTAGAGAGGTGTCGGCCGAAAAAATCGTCTATAATAGTACGATTGTGATGCGCAGTCGACCTGAACGAGAGTAGAGTCCCGAAACAGCAATTTTAAAGCTTACATCTATCTCTGGACACGATTGACGTGCGTCCTTGTCTGCAATCTCATTATGATCCGTACTCGTTCCGATCTCTGACCTCATTTTTATGCTTTGTGAAGCAAGTCGCACCAACCAAATATTGAATTTATCGTCGAGTCCACAACGTTCAGAGCGACCTCGATCCCTTCAGGAAATATATATATAGGGTAAAATTCGTTGAGGAACGCAATGCTATCGCTGGCAAGCAGTCGACAACGATGGAACGGCAAAGCGACCGAGGAAGGCAATGGCGGTAGCGCTATATATAATTGCTACAGGAGCAATTGAATGGAAACAAATTGCTGCAGCCGCCTGATCTCTAGATCACTCCTTCCATAGAGGCGTCAAATGCCAGTTCGAACCTTTGTTCTATAGCCTTTTCTTGACCTGTGGACACATAGATGAAATCTCTCGTTTGAGAACATGAATCTACGTATGTAAACGATTTCAATTAACTTCTTACATTATTATATATGGTTTCATATGATCGCTTCACGGTTTGCACGGAAAGGCGTTTATATTTACTAGAAGATTAGAACTATCCTATATTGTTGATGTCTTACCTATTCATTATGCGTAAAGGTGACGCTCCATACAATTAAAAATATCTCAGGTCAACAACGTTCATTTGATACGCATCGAAGGCGTTTTCGAGTCGTTTGCATACATTGTGCCCCTTGCATGGGGCAATCTGTCGAGGCTATTCGAGCTATTGTAATAGCTACTTGTCTATGGTGCGAATCATTGCGGACTATGGCGATCAAGTAAAAGTGTTCCTTGTATCTGCGGTGGCGGTTGTCATATTTCGCCAAACGTATTGCTATAACTGCAGCAAGTCTAAACAACAACAAATAGAATTATCCTCAGCGGTCTGCTACGGCAGCCAACCGTCTGCTACGCGTTCTTCATCTATGTAACCCTGTTACTTTGTGTTCTCGATAGTCCAGACGATCTTTGACACAAAGCATAAAATATAATTTTCCTAATTATTGGAGTTCTATAGAAGTTTTATTTGAAGTGTGATAGAGTAATAATAATATAATGTTGTAAATGCAGCAGGTTGCTGGCTTCGCACCTAATGGCTTAACTTATAACACCCTATAAGACGTAAAGTAATAGAAAAGCGACAAAATCAAATATGTAGCTTAGCTAAGAATGCTAGCAATAAAAATCTACATGGAACTATATGTTCTCTGTTTTCAGTCAGGCTGCAACCTTTTGTGCCTTATTTTGACCTTTCGTAAACGGCGGCCTGCCACAAGTTATCCTACAGTAAAGCACACGATATTTTGATCGATCTGGAAAACATTAATGAGCTATCGTCATACGAATCCGGTCGTATACGACAGTATTTTTTCATGATCAACATAAATTATCGTGCTCCGCGTTTGCAACATTGCTCATAGTGATTACGTGGCACAAAGGCCTACAGTTAGCACATACAGGTCCTAATTGGCTCTGTACTTAGACATTTCGTTGCCGACTAGGTAACCGATACGTCAGCAATATATTGAGAAACATTTCAGCGCTGTTATGAGCTATCGGAAATCTGCAGGTTAACGAGACAACGAAATACATTGTCTTCGTGAGATGGCGCAGTGGTAGTGCGTTCGTCCACTAAAGTTAGGGGAACGTAAAGCGGTTTAGGTTTGTATTCAAAGGATCTAGCTGTTCGAAGCGAGGCTTCACATCAGTAGTTATAGCCATACGGCCCGAAACTGGATTCGACCTGGATTTTAGACGATTCGATAACATGACCTGGTTGTTATGGGTCGGGTAACAGGAGGCCCTGTGCATTGGCGTACAGGAAAAAACAACAGGTTATTAATTAATTTCATGTGTATCTACTATGTAAAGGGGTACTTGAAACTTGAACGCTTCAGGGTCAAATTCCGAAGACGACCCAAACCAGGAAAATTAACGAGCACTTAGAAACTCGTTATTACTATTACTGTTCATTATCATTCTTGTTCTTTGTGTTGATCATCTTTTCCCGGTGTCATGATCCTACGAGACCAAGAAAAAGGAAATGCGAAAGTAAGAAAGGGATTAAGAAAGTAAGAAAAGATTGGGAAGGCTTCAATACGAATACATTAGGTCTCGACACCGGTCCTCGTATTATTCCTTATTTCCAACCGCTAGTCACAGGTCGCCAACCTTCGCTCCACCGAGATTAAGCACTTGAGATTATTAGCGAGTGTCACACAACAAATATATATAGAGGCTTCACTCGCGTTCACATCTCAGACAATCTATCGAGCTCCTTCGTTTTGGCGCACCCTTAATGAGGCGCCGGTGGTAACAAGAACGATTATTTAGTTACTGCTAGCTAGTGATTGGTCCAATGCCATATGATTGTATAAGGTTGTAACAGTCAAACTAAGAGACGCAATATTGCGGGGTCGGTAATAGGTTAGGCTGACAGGAGCATTATAAAATAAGGAGGAAATTCTGTTTAATCTATATAAAGTAGGCGAAAAACAGTTGATACTATATGTGGTACGTGTCGTTCAGTGATTAGCGATAGTTTTAAAGTTCCAGTCGACTTTTATGTTGGAGTTGGAAGAACTTCCCAGAGCGGAACTAATACGTACAATAAGAGTTTATTTGAGTTTTTATACGACCAGACATAAAACGTTCAAGGAGGTGGAAGGAAAAATAGTGGAAATCAACTTCTACTACAGGAACTGACAGGGGTTTGATACCGCGCCCGGATAATACCGTAATTTGCAATAGTCGAATATACACAATTATTTCTCACAGCGTTACAGATTCTGGTACGATGTAGCGTGTATGGAGCTGCCTTTAATATACCACGTGGTGCTGATACTAGGTTGCAATACGCCTTTATGACGCAAACGGTTTTATGCCTATTTGTACGCCTATTTCATATAGATGAATAACCTTTCGACGCTGTTGTATTGACGATACTGACTAATGTAATAAAAAGCTATATGCATAGATTAACAAATAATGGGGAAAAATTCTACGGACGGCAAAAGATGAACAAAATATGCATATAGAAATAAAAAGCTGAAATTTTTAACAAAAAAATTTAAAAAATACTTTCGAGTACCAACTTAGTTCGTTTTGTTGTCCCCCAAATTAATTTTCAATGTCATCTAGATGGCGAAAATTTTCGCCTTGCCGTTCATCCAAGGAATCAATATTTTTTATAACTATATTATAAATCTTTTTTTTGCAAATTTTTGCAAAAAAAAAAATAAAATTTGCTGAGGGCGATAGTCCCTAAGGAAGAGCCTCGACTCTTTTCCTAACAACTTTACTATGATCGACTAGCCTTAACATGTGGCTCTGGCATACGAATATGGTTATTTTTACCGAACAAACATCCCTTTTCCTCTGCATCGTTTCGAAAGGCAACGCTCCTTGCTCAGAATTGTACCCTCGCCGTTTTTCTTGTATGTCTAGCTTACTGCGACTGTGACCCAATGGAAAAAGGTTTCAATATCTAGTCATGTCTTCGACCACGTAAGGAAGTAATCTCAATACGTGGCGTCCTATCAAACTAATTATAGCTCGGAACAGTGCTATGTTTACATTTCAGTAAGCATATAGCACCGTTGTACGATGTAAACACACAAAATACAGCTCACTCATATACGAATATATCTCATTTATAATGGAATTAATGGTAGCTCAAATCTAATGTGCCCTGTATGTTTTCCTTGTTGCCACCTTACCTTTTGCCGTATTTCAGTGAGTTAAAGGCCGAAGACAAAGACCGTCGACTCCTAGTCGAGGTATGGGATTGGGACAGAACCTCGCGAAATGATTTCATGGGCTCGTTGTCCTTTGGCATCTCCGAGATTCTCAAATCTCCTGCGGAAGGATGGTTCAAACTGTTAACGCAGGAAGAGGGAGAGTACTACAACGTTCCGGTCCCACCCGACGATGATATTGCTGGTCAACTTAAGGTGAGTGGGAGAGAAGGACTAGCAAAGGAGGGGAAGAAGGGGGGCTGTTTCCCACGGCTCTCAGATATTGAGATTACTGCAGAACGTCGTTGTGCCCTAGCATCTTCTATTTGCTTGTTTGCTATTCTGGGTTTACCTGTTTGTTTGGACCGGCCGTTAGGTTGTTGGTGTTGTTTAATTTAAAATTGAGCAATCTCAGCAAGAGAAACTCAAGTTTGAAGAGGCTAGAGAACAAGTGAATGCGATAATACATAAATATCTGGGCTTGACCCAACACTCGCTTGTAGGTATACCTTTCGTCAGATCACCATAAGGTATGCCACAACGCCTCGCCAGGGATCGTATTATGTATCGGCTTCCAACTGGCATGTACATATAGGTCGGCCAATTGTTTCAATCAAATTAGTTGTCGTAACGTTTGCGGCAGCAGCAGTTCTCCCGTTTCGTCAGAACGGAAGACGTCATAACCGAATACATCGTTGTTCTATCAATAACATGTTCGAATGGCTGCAGTAAGATGACTTTGCCTCAGATAATTTTTGCCTACAGAACTGCTGATTTAACCACATGCGCATGCTCAATAGGACCGAATGATATGTACTACCAACCGTTGGTGTAGTAATGCAGGCCATGCAATATTATTACGAATCAATGGGAGTCATTCATCACGATTTCGATTTGCCACATAAGCAGGCTGAGAATCGTCGAGTTATGTGGACAAATTGCGTGTATTTGATATTTGCGCTTTAAATATAGGAAGAACATAATCATTACGCTACCGTATCGAAATATGACCTAGTAGTCTACCTGACCTTTTAGCGGCGACCAAGACGCCTTTGGTTGGCGTTGTCTAAGGACCGCGCATCTTTGAAATATATCGTTTACTATAAAATACCGTGTTCTAGCCGCTTCTCTGACGCAAAATGAACAAAATTATTACTTACGTCCATTTTAACGCTGTGTAAGCATTACTTTGTTTAGGCATTATACTAGCTACATTGGCCTGTAGCCAGTCATCTTTAGGGGATCAATGGCTCAGAGAGGGCTGGGAGTTATGGTCCAAGCCGTAGTGGGAAAACTTCCCTGAATCCCTGACAGCCACCATCTAGTAGTTATTGTACCGCTGGGTTACACTGTCATGACGTTGTTCCTATCAAAACTGCTAGCTGTTACTGTGTCTCTGTTTTCTGCTGTCCGTCAAGAGCCGACGATCATGTCGGCCAACTCTGTTCCCTTAACGACAGACGTTTCGAACACTCGATCGAGGATAGTCTACGTCAAGATCAGACATTAGATATTAAAGGTGACACATACAAAGAGCTATCATCTGACCTAGGTCAGCTCGGGCCGGCACTGCGGGCGAGCAACCAGAGCTGTGCTATGACGAGTCGGTGGCGCCGTTGTTTTCGTTCAGTATTTATGTTTTTTGCACTTTTAATGGTTCTCCTGTTTCGATGGCTCAAGTCTACTGTCGTCTAAACTAGCCAGACTTGTATTCAGCAGCTCCGCCTAATGCGTGGCGAGCGTCCCATGTTGATAGGGAAATAGAAAACACATTTTTCGGAGCAATATTTTTTTTAACTATATTTTTTAGCTGGAAATGCTCTGAAGGCTATTGTTTTGTATTGTCCAACGGATACAAATTCATTACTTCAATTCAGATGAATCTCAGGTCTATGAAAAGAGGTCAAACACTTGACGATGCCAGTGTAATGGAAAATCTAAGCATCAGCCTTTGTTAAGATCATCTATTAAGACCAATGGCGTTAAAACTATTGTAAAAGCAGGGCCCAGCTAAAACTCGCACGTTAGTTTGTATGAATTGTGCGCGTGTAGCGTTAGATAGCGCCCACCGATACAATAACTACCGAACCCGTCAGTTTGACGTTTGCGTCGCAATTAGACGCGTTTCCACTTTGTAACTTTATATGCACTCACATGAAAGGCTTCTGTTATTCATTCTACCGTCCCCATTGCCTATTCAATTCAGTCATCTGTCATATTGCATTAGTAGAAAACAAAGCGATGTCCGCACGATGACTTGAAGGCTATGTGAAGACTGTTCAACCATCAACAAAGTAGTGACTACTAAGCAGATCTGACTCTTTCGATATAAAGGCGTTAGTTCCTATTTTCCAATTCGGGTGTGCTATTGCTCGACCGCAGAAGATGGAGTTTCGCTATTACTAGTATCGTTGTAATAATAAGCCTTCTATGTGATTCCCTTCACTCAGTGATGAGTTTTGCTATATCTCGGCCACCGTAAACCTCAAAAGTTCGGTCTAGGTAAGTAACGACACGGAAGATACAGTTTGATGTTTGTTTGCACTCAAATTGCCAATGTTTTATGTACACACATAAATTCAATGCCTCGAGGTTGGCTTCTATGGACTCATACCTTTTCCCTTTTGGCCGTACAAAGTCTCAATAGAAAGTGTGGCTAAGGTGAGCTACAATGTGTGCCATCCTGTTATGCAACGTCAGGCACTGGGGGTGTTTCAAGTGTATATTGCATTATGCCGAAAGCGGCAAGTACGGGTAAAAACTAAATCCACCATTTCCGCTGGTATAGGAAGGATAGATCTTTGACTGCATATATCTAATAAATTAAGAGCAATCATTATGTCGTACGACAAACTTGGCAGATACAATTTACACGGCTGTTTCGTCCAGGGAGATTTAGTAGACGGCAGCGTCGCCTTGATATCGCTGACCCCGAAAATCATTGGATCAGTTACAATTGAGATTTGTTCTAGTAATTTTCCAGCTATGGACCATCAAACAGCGCCCAGAAGGGACGATTGGAAGTTAGCTATGGAAAACGACGTGTAACGCCATCCAGACAAGATTATGCTCGCCTCAACTTCTACTTACAAACGGGAAACATTACAAATAGGCTGTGATGTTAACTTGTTTTTTTATAGCGTGAAAGGGCGAAAATAACAGAACTGATCTTGGTGCCTTCAAATCGATCTGTTTATTCATTAGAAGCAGCGATACATATATCAGCATTTTCAACTGTCATTGCATAACTGACTGAAAGAATAAAGAAAAAACAAACTCATCGACAGACTCTGCCGCACGTTCTGTCTTTCTGCCGCATTAATCCTACTCAGCTAGGTCTGTGCGAGAGACCTTAAGGCGGTCGTCCTGAGACATCATCGTGTAATAAGGTTGTGTGACGTGTGTTTAGCCTCGTCTTTTTCGTGCATAACTCATTCATGTTAAGCCAATTTTATGAGTTTATGAAATATTTTTGATTGACCGAATATCAGCTCAATAGATTTACCTGGAAAGCTCGTCTACCCGCGTGAATTTTCATAGAGACGTACTATTCGCATTTTCCTGCCTCCGTAACGGTCATTGCTTCGAAAATTATGTGGACCCACAATATCTTCGTATGAATATATGTGCATATGGATAACTACTGTATACTTAATATAACATATATATTATTTCTATAAGAATATGTCGACTCGGTTGGAAGTCGACAACCATTTCTGGCCGTAGAGTTAAACCAAAGTTCTATCAAAAGTCACTCAGGGGTTTCTTTATCGTTAACGTATGCTTCAAGCAACTAATACTGTAACCCGCATCGTCGCCAGCTAATCATAGCCAACAGAGATTCAATAGAACTGCAGTGAATCCACGTTTTCAATTAAAACAATGTTAGGTATTTAATGTTTACCATGTCCCAGTGAATGGGTAAACCGTGTTTTCGGGAGACGGTTCAACTTAAAACGCTATTTCAGCCAGTGTAGTTACGCAGAAGGCCGTCATTTTATGCTTTCGCGAATTTCTTGCTTCGACCTTTAGTTACACTAACTAGCACCCTCGGCACCTTCATTTATGTTGGTCCAACATCGCCTCGTATTCTGCAATGCTTTTTCGAGCAGCTTCGTCGACCCACAGTTGACAAGGGGTTTTTTGAACGAGGGGTCTCCGCTTTGATCCCAGCGCTGCTCCTTCGCGAAACACTTCTTGGCTTTCGCGTAACCGAACTTCTCATTTGACTGCAGCGCTTTTCTTAAGTGCAGAAGACGCAAGTCCGTACTCGATATCCACTAGAGACCTGCTTACGGCACCGGTGTTCACTCATCTGGATAGTTTTGCCTGCTAGTAGCCAGTTACCTTTCATAATAATTAAAAAAAAAAAGGGAAGGCCGTTCTTCTAATTAACGAACTATGTATAAGCAAGAGTTATAATCGAAACGTATCGTATATTGTAAGCAGAAACTTCCAATGCGTTATAGTATTGAGTCGGGTGTTACAAGAAGAAGAAGAAGAAGATCACCTATGGTGACTTAGAAACGGGTACATTTTGTATCGGATGTAACATATCGGCAAGGATATTCAGCAGCGCTAAGTACAAACGACATTGAACTTGGCGGCAATAATTACACTTTGATTTTTTTGGCGCTTCGATGTGTTTTATGGATGAGGCATTTGCAGAAATATAACAAATTCCAAAAGACAAGGCCTTTAACTTATAACCGTTTCACGACGAAAAGTGACTGCATAAATAGTAATCTTCTCGTACTCTCTGCTAAGTTTATCTCTGATGTTATTGTTATGAAGATTTAGACATGAAACTACATACAGGACAGTGGTAACTTTGTAGTATCAGTTTATCATTTCTAATATCGTTTCTTTCCATCGTCTGTTTGTTTCTACGTATTTTTCCGTTTCACCTTCAGACGCGTCTAACGACGAAGGTAAAGGACAACAAAGAAAACAGAGGAGCCCGTGGTGTTGTTGGCGATCAGAAGGGCGGCGTCATCAGCTCCGGTGAAAAAAGCGTGGTGCCAGGTGACGAGCGCGAGGTAGCGACGGGAGAAGGCGGTAAAGGCGGGGACGTCATCCGCGCCTCCGACTTCAATTTCCTTATGGTGCTCGGCAAGGGCTCATTTGGCAAAGTTATGCTGGCCGAACGGAAAGGCACCGACGAACTGTATGCCATCAAGATTCTAAAAAAGGATATCATCATCCAGGTATTGTGCCTAGCACATAGATGCCTTTTGTATACAATAGATAAAGAGAAGGAGATAAGCGTAGGTGAACCTTAGAGGTAATGAGAAAAAGGTGGGCGTATAATTAAAGGAAAGAGGTGGGTGCAAAAATATTAGTCACGGTAGAACAGCTTTATGACAATAAAACAAAATGATGTTATAATGTTACACATGTTTACTTAAAAGTAAAAGATCATACTGGATAGAGTCTTGTTCATACAGAAAACACCGGCATCTATTAAGTTCACGTTAAGATAGTCAATCGAAAGAAGTTTTTGAAGAAAGATGCAAGCGACTTTGGGATTTGGTAGAAACGACAAAGGCTTAATTAAACAAGATAATGAAAAATCTTTCAACATATATAAATAGGACTTTTTTTATTTTAAGACAAGGTGAATCTTTGGTTTAGATATATATATATATATATATATATATATATATATATATAGTATTGATCGATCGTGTTGCGCTAGGTCAACGACTGTTGCTGAACGTAATCCAACGTCTAGATATATATATATATATATATATATATATATAGGCAGAGGGACTTTCTCTGTGGGAAAATTCACGTCAGATCTAATCATACTGCACTCTTTTGCGTAGATAAACCACTATATTTTACCTGCGCAACTGTCGAAATGGGCGCTTAGTTCTGACTATCCAAGGACAAGCAAGCCCATACACGGCCTTAGACCACATTGCTTTCATTCAGCTTGAATCTCAATTGCTCACGTTGATTACTATATATCATGCGTGACTAGTCGATACACTCCCTCGCCATTTTCTTCTCATATCTTAATTAATCCTTTCGGTTAAACGCTTACTGGGAGTGGTACGTAACAGGCACGACGCTTCACTTTTTCAAAACGAAAGCTTCCGTTACCCACCAACTTGTTGAAACTTTAGCTTGTGCCTTTAACAAACGGCATTTATTCTCAGTGATGACTATGTACCGCACGTTTATAGAAAACTCGCTTCAAGTCCGTGACTTTTTTCCTCCGCCCGCTGTCATGTATACGCTGTTGGTTTTTTGCATAATAAAACCTCACGATTTCGTCTGTGCCATCACCGGTGACGTCAGCGGCCCCGTGCCACCCGGTAGGCGTCAGAACATGTTGTCGACTTATCCTTTTCTGCCGTGCGCTTCTTTTACCATAGTGCACCCGTTGCTGCGCTGCTCATAGCAAGCTGATTACGTGCACTTTGCTCTCCTTCCCCCTTCCTCCATACAGTAACTCTATGCTTCGCTGACCAGTTGTTGTAGCTTCGCCGCTTATAGAAAACGACGACAAATTTGTCAGCAGCACGAGCAGAAACAGTGAGCCACCGATGCGCCTTGTAAAGCTCCACGTCTGCCCAAGAAAGGCAGAAGTTTTTGTGTTTACTGGCAGTGCGCCCCAGGGTCTTGGCCCATTCCTTCGTACGAGCTGGTTGGTGATGACCTATTTTACGAACGGTAAATATACATACCATAAAAAAGATAAGAGGCAAGCCAGCCAGTTACCGCAGAACGATGTACTTCTAGTAGGCGATGCGTATTTGGTGGATGCGCGTCGAGACTGCGCGGGACTCTGTGCCTCGGGACAGCATCTGTGTTCAACCGTCATGTCGGCGCTACGCTACCAAAAGCTGTTCGATACCGATGAAGCGTGACGTACTGGAAGCTGCAGTAGAAAGCCTTGAAGAGGCGCAAGCTTCTATCTAATATACTCACATTTCGACAAGGTTAAATAACTTCAAAAATATATGGCCTAGTTCCCTCCTGGAATATGATCCGTGCTGCGGACGAATGGCATGGCCTTTCATTCTAAGTTCCTAGCGTATAAGAAATATGTATGCGAACCAAGTAAACATTTTACAAAATGAAGAGGAGCAATGCAGTGAGCTTTCGAGGGGTTTGGAGCGAATGCGGGGGGCAATTATTCTGCGCACACACAACAAATAGAGTAAAGGCAAGGTTTGCAAACTGCACCCTTTTATTGCAAAAAAAAAACTGAACCGATCACAATAACCCATAGGAATTATATATTTACGCTACATTAATGAAGGATCAGCAAGGGGTCACTGTATCTAAACAAAATGACATCTTCATTGCCAAGAGGTCGGAATCATGTGTATATTATACATAGGTCATTTGATTTATCTATTTATTAATAATGTTACCCTTGGAGATGAACAGCGGCTCTGCCGTCGATTAGAGTAAGGGATAATAATATACGTCAAGTATCTACGCGTAGAAATTGGCCCCATGACCAGTGTCCATTTTTTTGCTCTATCAGTTCCTTCGATTTATCGTCGCAGTAAGTTACAAACGTACATTAACATGCGTTTATGGTATGTATGCCTGCTTACTATTTGCTGTTGTTGTCGTCATAAAGGTTTATTTTCCCGTTCGATATAACTGTTTCAATATACAATGTTACTTGTGTAAACTCTGTCTCGCATGCTCCAGGACGATGACGTGGAGTGCGCTATGGTTGAGAAGCGTGTGCTGGCTCTCTCCCACAAACCGCCGTTTCTCGTCCAGCTGCATTCGTGCTTCCAAACTATGGAACGACTATACTTCGTCATGGAGTACATCAACGGAGGTGATCTAATGTTCCAGATACAGCAGTGCGGAAAGTTCAAGGAGCCCGTGGCCGTGTCAGTACCTCCGCCTCATGCTTCCGACATCAATGAACATTTCATAGTTAGAAATAACCGAATAATAATGATGATAAGGCAGTGAAGCATTGATAGTAATAGTAACGATAGTACCTATTTTCATATTCCGTAAAATGTTGTTGTCAAGCTTGCAGAACCACTCTGCCTTGTATCCACTTTACGGGACTTCTATTTAGTGGTCAGACTATGGGCTTAATGAGTGTATATAAAGCTTTTATTTGTATTGTAGAACAATTTTTTCTATACATATGCGTGCTAATAATGCCGTATTTCCGAGAACGTTATTAAAAGTGTTCATTTGAGTTATTTGCATTAAATGTAGCTCTGAAGGATCTTTTGTAGAATGAAAATCTATTGTGACCGTTTGATAAAAGAATGCAAGTATAAAGAGTAACCAATATATGCTATTGCACTATTTTAATTGCCGTATATCTGCTTTGTCATCGGACTGGGCACACGTAATTCCGTGTCAAACGCTCCGGTTGCTTGTTCTACAGTTTCTATGCAGCGGAGATTGCAATTGGATTATTCTTCTTGCATTCGCGGGGTATTATATATCGAGACCTAAAACTGGACAATGTCCTGCTAGATCAGGACGGCCACATTAAAATTGCCGATTTCGGCATGTGCAAAGAAGGAATTCTCGGGGACACTACCACCAAGACCTTCTGCGGAACGCCCGACTACATCGCACCTGAGGTGAGCAGGCCTTGAACATTTCAGGGCTTCAACTTTGATCTAAATACGTAGACTAATATGCGTTCGTTTTGTTCAGGTTGTATAATAATAATTTTTACTTAGAAAATGATTACATCGCACGCATTTTAAAGGTTTTTCTTGTACTTTACTATTGTAGACCATACAATGTCATTTGACGCAGTTTTTCTCTCAGTTTTCAGTGTCCTTTTGAAAATCCTTTCGTCTTTTATTTGTACGGTTGCCGATAATCCTCTCGTCCAGCAAATGTTTCTGCCGCGCTAGCATATATAGACAAAAGTATCTTGCTTGCCTCCAACTTGCCTTCATATCTCTTCGTTCATATTTAACACGCAAACCAGAATCTCCTTTAGAATATACACAATCTATAAAAGCCACTCAAATATGAGCCTAACTGCCATCTGTATTCATGGCGGCAGCACGGATCTTAAACCGAAACGGCTTACGCGTAAGCCCATGCAAGTTCTGCCGTATGCAACGTACCTGCATCGAAGCTGGATCCAAAAACCCAGTTGAAGTTTGCTATCAAAGGAGACGGCACGATCTTCTGATAGAAACTAGCGAAGTACGATAAATACGTTTAGATGCCGTTAGCGCCTACAGGACTTCCTTGTGACAGGAGAGGATGCAATGGCTATCTGCAAGCCAGGCATGGTAAACCGCTTTTCCAAACACTGACCGGTATCGCTGCGACTTTTGCTGTCGCTGCGTGTCGGAAGGCCTGTGGGATTCAACATGAAGGAGTAGGTTGTTCAGGTATGCAGGGCTCTGCTGAACGAACGTTGCTTGTTTACTGCCGTTAGGCTATTCTGCCGTTATTGTACAAGCCTGCGCAATATATTAACATTAGTATATTTTATACGGTTCGCGAAACAGCGGGCCGGGTATAAATTAGTCCCCGTTTAATGTTTCAACGTCAAGGTGAGTGGATGGCGATACAAAAAATGAATGCCTCAGAGCGCTGTATAAGAAAACATAGTACGTACGTTAAACAGTTCTTCCATGTCCTTAAACGCCGTTGGCTTGGTTCTGAGAATTGCACCTTCTCGAGCCGCGCAAGCACTTCTAATTAGCCTAAGCTTTCTGGTTAACTAGGCTCGGTCGCGGACACGAATTGAATTGCCAGGCAGGACCACGAAGAGTCGATATGTAAATAATTAGGGAAACATAGTGTGTCGCAGTGCATGTTATTCTAGTATTAACCGCTTGTTCGAGTTAGTAACTTTTCGCAGCGTTGGCGCCCTCTGGTTATGATCTTCGTCTAACTCCTTCTGGATTTGTCTGTGAGGGGCGCTTAGAAAGGGCATTGCTCGGTGTCCCAGGCAGCCCGTTTCGCCATTACTGCTGTCGGAGTTATTGTTGACCATTCTTGTAGCAAAATTGTTTTCTATCCCATTGACCGAACTATGTTTCTCGTCTTCTTACCTCATGGCTAGCGCTGTCGCCGCTAGAGAGGTAAGACAAGATACTTGAAATTAAAGAATTGATATTACTGCCGAGTTGGGCCATGCTCCTAGATGTCACCAAGGGTATGGTGACATTCACTTCGTGCTTGTGCCACCCCACATCCTCTCTTGGGCGACAGGTTGCAAAAACAGCTGCAGTGGTCGTCTCGAGAGTATATTCTCTGCGTGGTACGATTTCATACTTGTAGTTTAGCCGGCCGTCCTTTTTGTGTCCTTCACTATACTCCGCCTAATACAATCTACCGATGACGGCACCAGCTATTGGATCTTTTAGAGCTGCCATTACTTCTGCTGCTGTTGCTTTTCATGGATATGTAGCTATTTCTCTTTTTTTCGGCTTATCTGTGTTCATCGGCTGCTGTCGTCTGCTTATTTGACTTACATGGATAGCGTGTTGTGTTCACAGCAGCCAGTGCGGTTCGTCGCTAGCCGTCGGACTCTCCGATTGGATGCTTCATACCTTTAGGCTTACAGGCGTTTGGCAACGATGACAGTGGCGAAAAGAACCCGCTGTTAGGTATTGAGAAACAGCGGTAAACCAGCTACCTAGCCTGCACTAGGTAGTTGTTCTATACCATGTCAGTACCTTGGGAATTTCCTATAATTCCGAAGGACTCCAACTAGACGGACGTACACAAGAAGAACCGTGGTATAGAGACGACGGACAAGGGAGGCCGGAAAAGAAAGCCGAGGTAATTACGCTGGACCCTACAAGATACGCTTGTTCCAATGAATTGTAAAGCGGGACAGCCGCCTGTTTGCGAATACATGCATAAGGCTGTTGGAGCGAGTTAAGGAGACTGCCGCACAGGCGCGCGTATATAACAGGCTACGTAAATATAGCCTGCTTAAGGACGGATACATGACATTAATGTGAAGCAAGTGCACAAAGACATAATCCGCGATATCCCGTTCTGTTCTATAACGATCTCACTGTCCCTGAACTCACTGGGCCCACAATGGCTGGTTTATTTTAAACGATTTTTGGCTTTTCGTTTATTGGTCTATACCGCTTTGAAATGATCCTAGTTAGACAATATCACAAACACACTCGCTTTAAATAGGTTATTACCTGTTTAATCCTTCCAGTCATATCATTTAGGCCTGAAGAAACCCTTCCTTACCACTTTCATTTTCGTTGCTGTCAATTGAAATATTGTAGCAGTCGTACAAGAAGGGTAGCTGCTCAAAATGGCCTATAGGGCCGTACAGACTGAGGCGTCAGACAATTGGCGCCATAAGAGGGCGGCAGCTTTTCGTTCTCTTCATGCTATTTTATAGCGGAACGGTGGCCGCTGTTTCGCGTCAGCGAAAGCTCAGGGCCACGTACGGGGGCGAGGCAGTGAGAACGCAGAAGCATAAGAAAGACATTTGTCCGCGTCGTGAATTGATAGTAGACCACTAGCAAAAACTCGTTCTATGAATCAACTTTATGAATCAGAACACTTCGAAGCAGGCTTCTTGAATCCTTGAGTTAAGAAAGACTTACTTTTGAACATGAACAAGATTGTGGGTTATGATCAGGGAGCTAAGTAAATCGGGTGTAAACTATTATGTACAACAGTAAAACGGAATGGGCGTAAGAAGGGCTTTAGTCCGCTTTACTTGCACCAGTCACTACATTAAAAGGACTCAATCGGTGTTAAATCTCCGTTGTTTTGCGTGAGTTCTACTGACGGTTGTACCTCACCCGGCCAATTTTACTTCGCTATCGTAAATGAAAATTATATAGCAGATATAGTCAACACAGTGATAGTTATACTGAAATTAGGACCGTAACAATATACCTCACGTTCGAATATCAGCGTTTATGTAGCGCACTAGGATTTTAATTTTTTTCTAAACTTTCTTAAGCAGGAACTGAACTGTCTAGGTACGCGCAGGTTCGCCGCACGTCCTTTCCCTGATTTATAATCACTATATATAGAAATATAGAAAAACTAGCATACATGAATACCACACCTAGCGCAAATTGTGCCTATTAGCAGTAGACTACATTCAAGCTATGCTACTGTCTAAAAATCCGAAAGCTTTTCGACTGCGCACCTTTATTGTAGACGGACGATACCGGAAATCTTCCGTACAGAAAGTCTGCCATAAAATTGACAGATGCAGACAATGCTGCACGACAACTCCACCAAAGCAAAGCTCTGGTATCAGATACACACTTGCGAGGTCCCTATACCATAGCTTTGTATGTATTCTGCTTTGACCAGCAGCTATGAAGGCCTAGTCATTTTGTAAAGTTCTCCTCTACACCAACGACGTAAGTAAACCGACAGAAATTGACAGAATCTGGGGCAGAGTAAGGGAGAAGCTCGGGAATAATCCAAGAGGAGCCTCTCGCGCATGCCGTCGGCGCCCGTACGAGATGCGGTGACAAATTGCCCAGGCGCTGCCTACTGCTACTTTCAGAAACGTGATTTGCTCTTTTTTTTTTTTTATTAATAGGGTAGCATTCACTGCTATTAGAACCGCTCGTCCCGCGCGCATCTACTTGTATGCATTTTACGTCATTGTTGAACGTCTTCTGCGGGAGCCGACACCATACCACAGCGCTCGTTACTGAAGGGCTTGTGGTTGGAAGTGTAAATCTTTTCATTTCTAGGCTAACTTCATGGCTTTGGCAAGATGCAGAGACCCTCTAAACACTTTCTGTCCGCCGTACGAATTGTCCCCAGCCAAGAAATAGGCGTATCCTCAATGCCCTCGGGAGCATTGTAAATAAGATATTGAGCAGCCACACTATACGTAAAGGTGAAGCCTCCCTCTTTCTACCTGCCAGTGCCAACAACCCTAACCTGCGGCTAAATAACCTCGCTTGTCGTGCTGCCTTAGATCAAGCAATACCTAAGTGGGCTATATGCCGTCTAGCACGTCATATTTAATTACTGCCCTTCACAGGCAGTGACAGGCAACGAAAGATGCTACAACCTTAAGCCGCGTTGCTGTCCGCGTCTGCGTGCATGCTTTTAAGGACCTTAAAGTCTTCATGACCGAAAACTGCGCGATGGAATGGGAGAAGATGGATTCCACAAATGAAGAACGCGAGGCAGAAAAACAGAGTAAACCAGTATACGTAAAATACTGGCGTCATTTTTCCGTTTTCAGCTCGAGAAGATGCGAACGCTGAAGGTACGACAAGCAAGCCAGATCGGACCGCATGGGGTGCCATCGAGGCAAGTTTGCTCCCAGCAGGACCCAAGCCTACGTAAGATAGATTTGTAACAAGAGCACCTCGTTCCGTCACCCATTTACTCTTAAAGGGCGTAAGGACTCCGCAAGTGAACGATCAAGCTACTTCGAACAACATGAGAATTTTTGCAAAATGCGCTCGACAATAAGACAACGGCTTTCACGCTGAATTGATGTCGGAAATGTTGGACAAAAGTTTGAATAGAAACAGAGTACCGACAACACGACAAAAAATAATCTCATGCCTCTTCTGTGCATAGCTCCTCCGACCTGGGTCGACGTGTCGATGTCATATCTGATCCTTCAGCAGACAGTTTCTCCACTTATGTCTGTTGCGTCCGCTCATTATGGTTTCTTCCGGCTTCATATAAGAGAACTGGTGTGAAAAGCTACGTGTTGTCACAGAAGCAATGCCGAAAAGAGGTGGACTGCAAAAAGCGGATAAGATGGCCGCAGTCCAAAGCGGCAAACGCGTGTCTCATTTTTGCAGGCAAATCTGTACAAGTTTGAAGCCATTTTGCCTGTCAGTCTAAGCGACGTGTTTGAACATGTCTCAGTTATTGGCGGGAGGCGTATAGCTCCTGGCGATTTACGTAACGATGTAGTACGTCTCAAACATATTGCATCGGACAACCTGTCAATAAGCAGCTGTGTAAACGGAAGGCGATCAGGGGAGCTCAAATAAAGATTCTCCATAGTTGTACTCCACCAGCAAACCGGTTAGTTTTACAACGTTTAAAACGCGTTACCAGCTGTCGTAAATCTTGAAGATTACTAGAGTCGGTTTTCTATTACAGGAAAGCAGGAGGTTTACTAAAACCAATATTAGCTATTCGATTTTTCGACAACAAGTAAATAGCTTCCGTTATTGGCACAATCTGTGTAGCATTTATGTGTGACGTCGGCGCGATTTATATATTATCTTCCTCTATGTAGTACGGTTGATGTTCACTGAAGAATAGTAAAATCCTATAAAATCTCCTTTAATGGGCCTTTTATGGCGACACCTCAGTTCCGATTGGAATATTGGCATGTTCTGCCTTGTAAATCAACTATAACATCCAAGCGTGACAAAATGGCGAAAACATTAATAGATGTTTCGAGTGCAAATTGATAATTTTTTGTATATGCTGTTTTTTTTCTATCTAATTGTTGGCCTAACCGTTTCAGGTTCCTTTTTTTTTTCAATTGCTATCGGAGTCTTGTTTTCCTAGCATTTGTTTAGATCTGTTAATTATTTCGCTCCGACTAGATGCGCCTGTAATACATTGTTTTTTATGCGGCACGTTAGCAAAACATACTCGTTGTGCGAGTGCCTAAATCTGGCTTTTCGGGTCTGTTCTCTGATGAGAATTTTACGAATCTAGCGATCTCTGTCTGGTCTCGGATATACTTTTCAATGGATCAATTCAATTATTAAGAGGTCAGCCAATCTTGCCCGATCTTCGCCTGGTGACTACTTTTGACTACTAGTGACCACCAGCTATTTTTCGACTACTTGTAGGTTACATCAAGCTGGAGCTTGGTATCTACTCCGGGAACTGAAGTAGAAAAGACGCCAGACTTCTTCAACATGAACGGAGCAGCTCATACACGTGTGCTCGCTGCTCAGTTAGTTTCGATACATCAGACAAAGTCGGCAATATCTAGCTTCAGTACCAGACATTTCTTCATGCTAGGTTATACAGTTATATTTGGCCGAGCAAAAGCAATGGGCAGTACGTTTTAAGGCCATTATTATAATTCCATGCCAGTCCCTATAAGGCCATGTTGTGTGACGTTTGAACGTCGATATGACAATTATCAGATCTTGGTTTCCCCAGTAGACAAAAAAGGATAAGACGAATTCATGCGATAGCGTTGTTTCCAGTACCAAAGGCTTCGTTTTATTAGAGATACATTTAGTGGCTCTCTGTAATTACGCTTTCGATGATGGGACGTTAAGGCACCTACCGGCCAATTTCGACTGGCCTAAAAAGAAAGTTTAGTAAAAACCCAGTTCGTTTTTCTCATATATTCGTGCCCAAGCTTATTTTTTGGTTTAATTGAAAATAAATTTTTCGTCCGCTCTAATCAAGTACTAAACGATCCGAATTAAGTAGAAATAGTACATAAACTTTTGTGATTGAAATGTAAATTATTGTTAATAAACGCTGTTAGTTCGGATGTATCTAGACTATGAAATACCTAGCCGCTAGATCGTCAGTCTCTGACCAAGAGGCCAGCCTGTTTTTTATTTTACTTTTTGTTAATTAGTTGATTGAATTCACTGGGCAGACAGTTGACTTAAGTAACCATTGGCATCAACAAATAAAAAAATATATATAATTACATGTGATCATATTTTCAGATCAAATATCGTGCCCCTGATATATACACAAACACTAATTCCATTTTGAAGGAGGTTGGCCCCGTCAAAAATACTGCTTTCTCTCTCGTGAAGACAATTTTTAATTTACAAACTCCGCCTGATATTATAACAATATATTGTTGCATATCTGTGCTTTCCGCCGTTCCCTGATTCCCCCTTTTCAGATCATTCTGTATCAGCCCTATGGAAAATCGGTGGACTGGTGGGCGTATGGGGTATTGCTTTACGAGATGTTGGTTGGCCAGCCGCCGTTCGACGGCGAAGACGAAGAAGAGTTGTTTGCTTCTATCACCGACCATAATGTCTCTTATCCGAAGGTAAGCGGCGGTAGCAGTTCATAGAGGCGTCGTAAGGCAGTGAACAGACTGAAAAAAAATCGTAAGTTCCATGTCGGGGACTATTAAGACTGGCCAAGTTTAAAGAATCCATAAGCGAACCGTGTAGAATTGAGGGGTAGCCATTGCGTAGTCGTAGGAGGCGTGATGCTATCACTAGTTTTTATCGATGCCTTCCAGCTAGTGGCGAAGATATTGGCCGATGCTGACATTTGCAATACAAACTTTGGAATATCTTCGTGCCTTTTTTCACGTAGTTACAAATGCGATTACAGGTCAACAACATATATAGGTTATAGGTTTATTACTGACATCGTCATTACATGAAATTGTGCCAGTTACTTCCAAAGCCATTTTAATTACCTTCTACAATAATTCGCTTACCGAACGATCAAAGGAGCTCTATTATTGAAACATGCGTTCTTTAAAAATGCCGACCGCTGTTTCGCCTTTATCTCTTTATATCTAGGCACTATCAAAAGAAGCAAAAGAGATTTGCAAGGGATTGCTGCAGAAAAACCCACAGAAAAGACTGGGGTGTGGCGCCAATTCGGGCGAAGAGGACGTACGAAATCACCCGTTCTTCCGTCGTATTGACTGGCATAAGATTGAAAACCGGGAAGTGCAGCCGCCCTTTAAGCCCAGAATCGTAAGTGCCAATCGTGCATGACTCATCTAAGTTACCTTGCACCAGTAACGATGACTTGTTCCTGGGACAGCGCTGTACATGACCGCGTGAACTTACACGCTCATATCGCACCGCAAGAAGTACGTTTTCAGTTTAATTTGCTACTTCTATCGGTGTTCAGTTATTCTATTTTCTACTGTTTTTTCACAGTCCTAGAGATGTTAAGGGACGAGCCTTTTCCACTGAAGGTTCAGATGTGAGCCGATGCAGCCTGGTTGGTTGTAAATCAAAGTTCTGTAGAATTTGCACTTAGGTAGTGGTATTTACGTGTGATCTATCTTCGTATGCCTTAACAATGCAGCTCATGGAAACGGTAATCACATTGCATTTCCGGCATAAGGCCGAATTGATCCGGGAATGTCGAATGCATGTGTCATAGGGC